CGCTCTTCTGGAATAAAAATGGCTTTGTTAGGTTTAACTTGCATTGCTTTGGAAGGGGTTTAAGCAAAACTGAACAATGCCACTCTTATTTCAAAAGAAGTATCCAAGCAGGCTTAACTATACTACACTTCTGTGCATGTTCTAGGGATGTAAAATCCCATTTAAATAGCTAATGGGTTAAATATATTTGTTAACTGATTAAAGGGAGGGGTGGGGGGCGGAAACGTCTACCCCTCACCACAGGCTGGGGCTCCGATAGCCTGACCAGAGCAGTCTCTGCCTGTGGCGAGCCAGGGTGCCCCGTAGGCAAGGGCTGCTCTGGCATTCCTATAGGAGTGGCCCCCGTTCATGACTGGCCCAAAGTGGTAATTGTCCCCTGTTAAACCTTCAGATCCCTAGTGCACGAGTGCACCCCCACACATGCTGTGACAACATGCTTAACACAATATTAGCAACAAGAGGGAAGAAACACAAGCCAGAGCAGGTTAAAGAATATTTAGATGATTTATCTGTATTCAAGTTGACTGGCCCTGATAAAAATTCATCCTTGGGTACTTAAGGATTTAGCTGACCTGATGATGGAACCATTAGCAGTTATCTTTGAGCATTCATGGAGGATGGGCAATGACCCAGAGGTCTGAAGAATGGCATGTATAGTATATGTCTTTATAAAGAGAAACAAAGATGATCCAGGGAATTATAGATCAGTTGGACAAACTTTGATACCTGGGAACATACCAGAATAAATTATTAAACAATCAGTCTGAAAACAACTATGATAATAGGGTGATAAGCAATAGCCAAATCCATGCCAAGGCAACCTAATTTTCTTCTCTGACAGGGTTACTGGCCCAGTGGGTTGGAGGGAAGTAGTATATGTGATATATTTTTTTTTAAATCTTGGTTTTTAGTAAAGCTTTTGACAGTCTTCCACATGAGAGCCTCATAAGTAAGCAAACTAGGGGAATGTGGTCTAGATTAAATTAATATAAGGTGGGTGCACTACAGTTTGAAAAACCCTATTTAAGAAGGTTCAATGGTTCATTGTCAAACTGGGAAGATGTATATGGGCCTGCAGGGGTCTGTTTTGAGTCCAGTACAAGTCAATATTTTCATTAAAGACTTTAATAACGAAGGGGAGAATATGCTTAGTTATAAAATCTGCAGGTGGCACTTAGCTGGGAAGGCTTGCAAGCACTTTGGAAGACATGATTCTAATTCAGAAGCTAACCAAAAATATATAGATCGTACCATGAACTTTCATAGGCACAACTCACTTCTTCAGAAGAATACTGTGCCCACGAAAGCTCATGATCCTATCTTTTTTGTTTTGTTTTTTGTTTTTGTTAGTCTTTAACTGCTACAGAACCATTCATTGTTTGTAAAGGTTTTTTTTTTTTAAAGTTAGACTAACACCGCTACCCCTCTGAGACTAATTCAGAAGGACTTGCATGTTGGAGAATTGGTCTGAAATTCAATAAAGACAAGTGCAAAATATTACAGTTAGGAAGGAAAATGTCAAATGCACATTTACAAAATGGGGAATAACTGGCTGGGGGAAGTACAGTAGAAAGGCTCTGGGAGTTGTAGTGAGTCACACAATGAATGCAGACTAACAGTGGGATATAATTGCAAAACAAGCTAATATCTTTCTGGGGTATATTAACTTGAATGTCATTTGTTAGATACAGGAAGTAATTGTTCCTCCACTCTACTTGGCAGTGGTGAAGCCCCACCTTGATTCCAGTTGTTGCACCACATTTTAGGAGAGTTGCGGGCAAACTGAGGTGATCCCAGAGCAGCTACAAAGAGGTTAAGGTTTCTAAATGTTTTATATGAGAAAAAGTTGAATAAACTAGGCATGCTTCGTCTTGAGAAAAGGAGACAGAGCGTGGACCTAATAATAGTCTGCAAAAGGGCTGGAAAAGCGAGGACAGTGGTGAATTACTGATGTTAGGGCCAGGTGGGTAGAAATATTGCTAGATTGTTGGGATCAATGGCTCAATGTCTAGTTGGCAGTCAGTATCAAGGGGAGTGCTTTAGGGGTCGGTCATGAACCTAGTTTTGTTCAGCATCTTCATTAATAATCTGGATGAAGGGATGGATTGCACCCTCAGCAAGTTGGTGGATGACACGGAGCTGGCGGGAGATATGTTGGAAGGTAGGGATAGTATCCAGCGTGGTGCCTAGTTGAAGGGGGGTTTCGAAGAGGATGCAGCTAGGCTGTTTTCAGTGTTGGCAGATGACAGAACAAGGAGCAATGGTCTCAAGTTGCGGTGGGGGAGGTCTAAATTGGATATTAGGAAAAACTTTCACTGAGAGGGTGGCAAAGCACTGGAATTGGGTTACCTAGAGAAGTGGTGGAATCTCCATCTTTAGAAGTTTTTAAGGCCAAGTTTGACACAGTATATGCATGTAGGTATATGCATGTAGAGACTATCAATTATAGCTTAGAGCTGTTTTGAAATTACATTAAAATGTTAGTTTTAAAGCACACAGGAAAGGCAGCTACCTAAGTTCACTCTGCCCATTCTGCACTGCAGTCAGTGCTGGAGTAATGTTGCTTGTTCCTAGTTGCTCAAATTATGGTATATCCCAGTATCTAGGTCCTGAGTTCTCTAGCACAGAGTCAGTTTAGACTAAGTCTAACTAGTTTATTGTTTATCCTGCCTCTGAATGTTATGCATGTAAACAAAAGATCAGATTACACAAGACATGTAGCAGTGTTCACTGGCAGCGTTTGATTCCATAACGTGTAGCATGTCTGCAGAAACTTACATTTTTAGTATCATTGTAACTGAAAATATTTTCTACATTTGCCATTGAATATATTGTCAGTTTCGCAAATTAATTGAATTCATTATTTTAATTCCAAAACTTCTGTTTAACTGATTTGGGGTATAATTCTAACTAGAGTTAGTTGTGTAAACAAACCAAAACCTAACAGCCTTTGTGTGGTAGTTTACACTAAATTTTGTGTATATACTGTAGAAAATGTCTTTGTGGT